ATCAACAAGGTCTCACCAAAGATTGTAAATGTCTATGAAAATATCTGTGAATTCTATTGGTGACAAAAATCCCAGACACTGCCAAAACTGCTATGGTTTCTGGCCAACCTTTGTAATTAAAGGAAATGCCTAATTTTAGTTAGAAGTTAGTAGAAATAAAGATGTAATTTTCTTCCATCCATAATTAACAGATCCACTCATAAGAGGCCTGTGGAGTCCATGTTAACAGCTCGACATTAAACACTGAGGCTAGAAAAATAACCTTTTGTTCTATGAAATTGAAAGGAACAATAAAAATGATCTGAACTAAAACTTTTATGTTACAGGTGGGGAAACTGAAGCCTAAGGAGGTTGTAAGACTTTGAATCTCCTGTAGTGTCCAACAATACTAAGCCCATAACAGACACACAATAAATGTTCCCTGAATTGAAGAGGCTTGCCGAAACCGTCCAGCTAGTGAGCGACAAAGTTGAGACCTGAAACCGTCATGTGGCACGACTTTTAAACAAGTGATCCTTCGATCACAGCAAGTTAGTGCAACGTTGGCCTTTCTGTAAATGTCTAGGGAGCAAACACACTCCCTGTATGCTTTTCCTCAAAATTTCCAGGAAGATATACTCTCCATCACCCCCAAGAAAAATCTCCCTCCTGTTTCCAGCAACCAAAGTCTCTGATCTGTGCTACATTATCATTTCCTGTTTTTCTCTCGTGAGTAAGTGTATCCTGACAGTCACAGTGGACACCTACCTGGAAATTAACGGATGGCCATCTAAGATGCTCTCTCGCCACAGCCAGGTGCTTGGCTTACAGCAATCACCACCCAAACATTAAGCTCTTAGGACATTTCCCTTGTCTCCTTGCATGATTTCCGTTCTTATTGCCAATCTCTAATCAGAAATTAGCAAATCTTTTTCTGTTTAGTTTTTTAAAAAAACGTCCACTGCCACCTCCCAGGTTTGCCCCATCCCATACTCTTTTCTATACCACCTCAACTACAAATGTCCTTTTCTTCACCATGCTCAAAACTGGCATCATCCTTCGTATCAGTCTCTCATGGCATTCTTATCGCCGGTCCAACAGTTACAGATAGAGTATCTGCCACCCCTCACCTCTTAACTGTGTTTTCAGGCAATCCAACCCTTTTCTCCCAGAACGAATCATTGCTCAAGACACCTCCACTTTAAAGTTTTCTTCTGCATTTCCCCAGACGGACAGCTCTTTTCACCACTCGCCCAGCGCACAGCATCCTCTTCACTCGTCCTCTCTGTGATGTGTACTTGCACCTCATCTTCAAGTCGGCTTCAAAAACCCCAGTCAGAGCTCACACACACCTTCACACACAACAAGATCATCCCTGCCCACCTCATTCAAGGCAGAATTCTCTTTTCTCCTACCTTTGAGGGCTTACTGCTCTCCTCCTTCTGTATTCCTAGTACACTGAGGACTTCACTATCCGCCCGTTTCAAAGCTCCCTGTCCCCCATATGTTCACATGACTGGTCTTACAACTCTCGAGATTTGTTATGTTGAATATGGTGAGGCTACTGACCACCTGAAACATGGATAGTCTGAATTGACATGTTGTGAAAATAAACACTGGATTTCAAAGACTTAGCATGAAAAGAAGATATAAAACATCTCTTTTTTTGTGTATGATTAATGCTGAAATAATATTTTGGACATGTTGGGATAAAATATATTATTAAAATTAATTTCACCCATTTCTTTTTACTTTTTGAATGTGGCTAATAAAATTATTTAAATTTAAATTACATAAATGGCTTGCTATACAGCATGACTCTGGGCAGCTCTGTTGATTTGTACTTTTAAACCTTTCCTACTGATTAAAAATTCTTTTCGGTCATTCCTACTAAGACACGTCCCCCAAATATCCCATTGCCCCCACACTCCAAACCTACAATTACTTTCAACGTACCATTCTCAGTCCTTTTCTACTCCACTACTTCTGTACACACTATTTCTTTTGGCCTGCTAATACAGCTTCTACCCCTGCCATCAAATCATAACAAAGTTCTGTTTTCTTCATCAGTTTTAGTGGGGTGGTCTCTGTCTCAACCCTCAGCAAAATTTTTAGAAATAGTCTTTTAAACTCCCAACAAAAAGAACTTCACTCATCATTCTCCAAATTGGCCTGTCTTCACTATAGTTTCATTAAAAGGGCTAGTAATTGCAGAACACTAGACAAATGCGAATTAGTCATTTCAGACCAATGTCACCCATTCGCACTAGGACCACAGTTCCTCCTCGGTCATTTTAAAAATAGATTTCCTTCTTCAAACTCTTCGGCCGTGTGATTCGAGCAGAGCACTGTGGTACTTTACACTAAATACTCCAATGCAAGTCCCAGAATGGAGCATTTGCTTTCCCCTCATCTTCAGCACGGGCCATGTGTCATTGCTCCCCAAGCTGATTTTATGTCTAACCTTTCTGGAATTGCCTTTTTGTTTTTTCTCAACTATTTTAGGGAAAACTCAAGACTGGGAAGGTGAACGTGAGTGGCGAGGCAGGGAGGAGTTGGGAGAGTCCACACTGAGACGGGTAGGAAGCCGCAGTCACGGATAAGCCCTCCCACGCATCATCCTCTTAGAATGTGCCTTCTGAAACCTCTCCTTACTGCTCTGCCCCCAGACCCCACTATAAACCCTTCATGTGTATCTCTTCCCAATAAGAGTGATTACCTTCACTGCAGCACCTCTCAGATTCTTCCTCTGTAAGGCCTCCTTCTCATCATCTTTAGCAAAGAAACGCTTTGTCTTTACTCCAAGAACAGCGTCTCTCTTTTTTGCTCCCAATATTTTCCTCAGGTGATGAAGATCTTTCTTTCCTCATTCTACGTAAATTCCAGTTTCCCATCACTCCCAGGATTGAAAAACCCTTTTAGAAAATTACTCCTAGTGTTGAAACTTTTCCTTGTTTCCTACTAGTGTATTTATTTAGCTCCTTCTCAATCATCTCAAGACAGAACTCTTTCACATGCACGCACTTCTGGTCTGGAAATATTGTTTCCTTTTCAGGTAGCCAGTGCTGGAAACCCCTTGTACATCTCTCTTCCAATACATGGCCCCTCTCCTTTCTCGTGTCCTCTCTTGGAGAATCGGGGTGTACAGCTCATTTGTTTGTCCTCTCCTCTGTTCTGTTCCTCAGTATTTCTCTTCTGTCCTTTTCCTCTGCTCTTTTTCTCTCTCAATGTCCAATTTTCCAGCCAGATAGTCTATCTGCTTCAGAAAAGAGTCCCCATTGTACAAATGGGTCAAAATAAAAACCGAGGGGAACCTGGGAGAGTAGGACAAGTTGCTTGCTCTCCCTTGGTCTGGGGATACTCCTCCCCAGACCCCCTCCACTGGGGGTAACTTCCTGTCTCCTCCCTCTCAGCTCATCTCCTCCTCAGGTGTCTGGTTCTTCCTCCAGCTCTGACTGCCTCCAAAGCCATCCCTCTGACGACCTGCCTGGCTCTCTTTCCTGCCTTAGGACTATCCTATTCCTGAATCCCACCGATCCTTTCCTCTTCCCATCACCCTGCCGGCTGCTCCTCATTTACTCCACTCCCAGCCCTTTCATCTTGTGGACATTCCCTCCCACCTTCCAGCTGCTGCTCTATCATTTCCTTCTGACCTTCCTTAGGGGACGCTGCTCAGACTTCAGTCACTGGATCCTGGTCCAACCAGGTGACATAAACAACAGCTGAATAACCAAAGCCAAAATGCCCAGGGCTAAAGGGGTAAAGAAGATGAAGACAGACTCTATAGCAGCCCTCAGGGTCTGGAAGAGTTATGAGCCCTTTGGACAGTTCCAAGGAAGGGCCCAGAAACCTATCATCAAGAATTGCCCTCTCCTGGTAAAGGACAAAAGGGCTCTTGGAACTCCTTGTCCCCACTAGAGTTAGCTCCCAGGCCTCCTGAGGTCATTTCCACCTGCTAAACTGAATGTGATGAATGGTTAAGCAGAGGCAGACATCCTGATGCTAAAGAACTTGAAGTTTCAGGAACACCACACTTGCATGCAGCCCCTGATTTCTTAAACAGGGCCCACCCACCAACTTGTTTAAGCCTTGGATCTCAGCATACCTGAGTCTGCTTCTGGACAGCAAAAGCTTTCCTAGCTTCTAGGTGTTAAGGATCAGTAGGAAGGCAGGAAGGCTCCAAGCAGATTGAGTCCAAACAGGGTTCAGTTGAATACACCTCGCCTCTCCTGAGAGGGAATCCTCCTATGGTGGATCCAGTGTTTCTGAATTACCTCTTAGCTGAATCTCACTGGTTCCAGAATCTTTGCTGGATTCTGGACTCCAGGCCTCTGGGCCACATCCAACTCATTCCAGCCTTTAGCCTCTCTCTCTGCCTCCCAGTCAACCCTGTAGGCTCCCTGCTAGATAACTTCCCTTTAGGACCCCAACTTCGTTCTTCAAGGCTTGGCTCTAAATCTGCCAATTCAGAAGTGACCTCTGTAACTAAGATGAAGATAGGTCATACAAATGGCCAGCATCACTGCAATACCGTCCCTTTGCCCCTGTGTTTCCAGAGCCCATATGGGGTCAATACAACTGCCTCCTTGGAAGCCCTTAGTAAGTTGACAGCTGCCCGATATATCCTCACCCAGGGGTCTTGCTGGTGTCCCCAAGAATCCCATATTCCCAGCTTCTCTATTCCCAACAGAGGAGAAAAATGAAGGGATTCTGAAAAGGAGACGGGGAGCCAAGGCTCAAGGGCTAGCACGCGGGAGGAAAGGCACTGATCTGGAAGGGAGTGCTGGGAAGTCTTCGGCGAGGCTTCAGACACTCTGGAGACAGACCAGGGCGTCTGGTTCTTGAATCTAGAGAAGTGCTGTGTTTGGAACGGAACTGGAGGTGGTTCCGCAGAACCAGCCATCTGGGGGTCTGGGACTCCAGGGCTCCGGGCAGGTGCCGAGATTCTGAGCAGGCTGCTGTCTGGGGTCTCCAGGTGAACGAGCCTCCCGCCCGGCGCCCTGATCGGCCCCAGCACTTACCCGGCAGACTTGGGAAAGTCTCTGAGAAGTGCGCAGGCGGGGG